GGATATTATGGTACATCATGTAGCATAGCTCTCAATGAAATAAATAAATAAATACATTGTGTAATAAAATGCCTGACAGGAATTTGAACCTGCGACCTCTCGCTGTCAAAGTCAGTGTCATAACCATTAAAGCACAGACTTCATGGTTGAAAAGATTCAAAATACCCGTCAGGTTCACTCTATTACACAATGGGTATGGCTGGAAATAAATAGTAGCATATACTGTAATAAAAATCAAGATAGCCGTTAACACTGTTAAATTATATATAAATCATCAAAGAAAGGTAAATACAGTGTTCAAAAAAGGACATGATGTTATTTCCAGCTGTACCTGTTGTGTAATAGAAATATATATATACACACAATCTGGAGAAAAATAATAGCGTACCCTTCTCTGAATGTTTGGACTTGGAGAACTATCCTTAAATCTATTTTTGCCATGATTGACTACATCAAGTACATATTCAATATCTGCAAGAAAATAATGTTACACTATGACTAAACCTTGTCCAGATTATCAAATTTCATTTGACGAAAACGTGTGACATGACCATATATAGGCACATCATGACTATATAATATGCACATACAACAATTTTTTTTTCAAAGAAAATATAATCTGGACAGGTTTTTAGAAACATCAGCAACAAAAATATTGAATACTAATACTGATTTGCTTTATTTGTCCATCATAAAATCACAGAAATTCTTCTTGAAGACTGGCAAAAAAATTAGTAAAACAGTAACTACCAAAATAGTTGTATATATAAAGTTGATATAAAAATATTAATAACAGCAACAAAAAAAATTAGATGTGAGCAATTCAACACTGGGAGGGGTGGGGGCACAAGTTTAACTTTGAGATTATACATTTGTCAATGTTCATGAGTGTACAGTACATTTGTATTTTACATACTGTATTACATTTGTCTTTATGCGGTGCACGCAGACATTTTCACTACAAACAGCTGTCACTACATTATATTAGCAACAATTTCCAAGGGTAGGGCTTATGAAACATATGGATGAATTTAAATGTATGAGCTTTCAACTATATTTCTTTGTTTTGTTAAGACTAAAAATGTTTGTACCTTGCAAAATTAGATTTGCAGCACACATTGAATAACTAGTATTATAGTGAGCTTTTGTGACACTTGTATTTTACATACTGTATTACATTTGTCTTTATGCGTGCACACAGACATATTTCACTACAAACACCTGTCACTACATTATATTAGCAACAATTTCAAAGGGTAGGGCTTATGAAACATATGGATGAATTTAACAGTATGAGCTTTCAACTGATATTTCTTTGTTATAAAGACTAAAAATGACTATAACTAGTATTATGGTGAGCTTTGTGATTTTATTATGCATTCTAAGGCCACCATTCGACGAGATCAACAAAGTTATACATTGATTATTATCAACTCTTTAATAAATTTATCTTTAATTCTAAATTCTGGTTAGGCACTAAGTTGGATTCAACAACTGAAAAACAGAATTGTATAGTAATGTTAGAACTTGAAATAAGTCTACCTGTTGCTAATATATAATATTATCAATTATATTAAATTTGACAACTTACAAGATTTTACAGTGTACAGCACTGCCATCTTCTTTTCAAATGTATCTCCTTCACTATCTAAAAAATCACTGTAGCAAAATAGACATTCTTTAACTTTGTAAACGTCCACAGAAAGACAATTTTGAGAGTATCAATGGTGGCATCAGGGGAAAGGGGAGGTAATTTCTCTCCTCAGACAAGCATGCACCCCCGTTGTCTGGTGGCAAAGGCGAGGTCATTGGTCTGACGATTTTAATTTGCCAAACAACGAAGTTATTGTGATTGGTAATATCTAATATTGTGGTCAAAAGCATAATTCGGTGCCATCATATAAAATCTCTCTAATGAACTCCACCAAGAATTATATTCCAGGACCGTGACTGTTTGGACCCTATGTCGGTAAGTTTCTATAGCCAACGCTGGGCCCTGGCCGTGACTGGAAGGCAATATTCTGACACACTAAGCTATCACTCCATACTTACCAAAATGTAGATTCAGCTTTGCCTATCCTTATACAGTCCTCAGGCTTGTGTGCAAGCTGAATATAAGATATGACAAAATAGGGAACTGTTAATTTGTTCAAGTAATATCATTTTTACAGCAATGCAGCAAAGTTCTTCTCGTATGCTGCTGCCTTCACATGCTGTAGTTTCTGCAGCTTAATTTGGCTATTGTGAAGTTAAGCAAACACCACCCCCCCCCCCCCCCCCCAACAATTTGAATTTTTAAAATTTCAATGCAAATCAATGCTACTAAGTGTCACTCACTTAT